ATTGAGCAACATTTCAAAGAAGAAGATGACATTAAAGCTAATTCAAGTGAAGAGATAACAGATCCAAAGCTGATCAAACAACAAAATGAAATACTCAAAGCTATAAGAGCTGAACAAGCTAGTAAATTAGACCAAGAAACAGGAAGATTACCTGAACAAAATCTAGAGGGAGCAATCACTGACGATTCCTACAACAGAAGGCCAGTTTGTTCTTGGGGGCATCTTAGGGTCCATCCTGTTAATTCACGATTTTATGGAACGAAGAGTGACATACAGCTACCAGCTGCTGAGGCAGTTACTGACTCACACATTGAGAGCTATAGTAATGAAATGAGTAAGTGTTTTACTTTTACATTTTTACAGGGTTCATGCTACTCCTTGAAATCCTTGAAAGTCCTGGAATTGAAAACTTGTTTTAAGTGCGCTTGAAAAACCCTTGAAAATGGGTAAAATTGCTAAAACTCCTGGAAAACTCCTTGAGTCTGATGGAACTTACATGTTGCTTTTTAGCCTTTAGATCGAAATGTGGCTATTTTTTAAAATCGCCATGCCCATGGGAAATGTTTGCAAACATAAAAAATATCTTCAAAAATAGTCCTTGAAAGTCACGTTTTTGTGCTTAAAAAGTCCTGGAATTTTGTAGTGAAAATGTAGCACAACCCCTGTTTTTACCACACAAAACATCTGTGGGTATAGGATCTTTGTCTCAAACAAGTCAAGTGTGAAAGCAAAATGTTGACATTGAAACTTGCCCACAGGTGGTTTGAATAGACCTAATCAGCTATTGTGTTGCTATGTATGTTACCACCCAATTCAAATCCTGTGGGAAAAATAACTTTTGTTGTTAAGAATTCAACTGTGAAATGAAAACACAACAAACAATGAAACTTACTTCCGGGTGGCTTGAATTGGGTGGAAACACTTATAGCAACACATTAGCCAATCAGGTCTATTTATGGAGCAGTACAAAAAAAATTTGTCTTAAAAACCCCCTGATTTTTCCCAAAAGTGCCAAAAAAAGGGTCTAGAGGCACACATATAAGAACTTTGTCTCAAGAAGTTCAAACAGAAAGCACAATGCTAACATTGAAATTTGTCCACAGCTGGTTTTAATTTATTTAGCAGTATAAACAAATTTTGYCTTAAAAAACCCTGTGAACTTTTTTCAACAGTGCAAAGGAAAGTGCCCAGAGGCACACATCAAACAAGTCATAGC